AAATTCAGCAGATTTTCAGAGTGGGTTGAAGGCAAGCTGGAGGGCGCCTTGTTTCCTCACCCAGTGGCCAAAGTACTAAGCATAGCGGGGACTGACGTTCACAGTGAGGCTCACCTTTCCAACAGTGAGATGGGGATTGAGGGTTCCATTAGTTTTCCTCTTGCTATCATTCCTCCATATCAGCATCCACTGACCTCAACCAGCCCTCCCTCTTTCTCATCCTTTTATCTCTCCAGTCCTTTTATCTTCTGTCTTTAACTCCAACCCCTCTCATCTTTCTAGAAATTCCTGCTACCCGATTTTTTTCTTTCTCTTCAGCCTTTTCTGCTTGCCTAATCCCTTTGAAATCTTTTGGCCCAAATTTCCATCCCCTAAACTTTGTCTGTTCTGCTTGCCATACCTACTGCTTAGGGATCTCTGAGGCATGAGAAAAGCTGGCTCGTTCCCCACTGTCCTCATCTCAATAACTGGTTCCCCAATGTGTGTCAGCATGTTTTCTTTCACAAGGGTTTAAAGAACACTGTCTTTTGGGGCTGGCCCGGGCTAAAATTTCAGCTGCAGGCACCAGGCACCAAATGTTTCTTTCAGCTGTGTGGTTTATCCTGTACAGCCTCAAAACAGTTTCTATTAGTATTCCGATGGAGAGCTCACTGATGGAATTAGTGGGAAACCAGACTGTCAATTTATTTATACTCAGCCTTAGGGCATAACCATTGTGCATGTGTAAAGCTATTGAGATGCAGAGAATACTCTGCATGTGTGTGTATATGTGTTGACTGGAAGTAAGTTTGCAGGGAAAAAATATTGCCTCAAGGATTGAACAGTGCCCAAAAGTGACCATACTGCATGCCAAAGATCCCTTTTCTCTGAATGCAAGAGAAAAATGATGGCTCTGAAATCTGTTGTCTACTTGCATTTATTAATATCTTTCAACTGCAGTTTAACTGCAGCTCTAGCTACCCTGCTGGAGAGAGAAATTTCTCATTTAACTTTTGGAGTCCTTCCACCTTCTTCAACAATATCTGTGTTATGAAGCTCTTGCTGCCTTTGGCTGTGGGATTGTTTAAAGTATATGAGTAATGAATAATGAAGTTTTCCTGTTACATTGTCTTTTAGCCTGTGATGTGTTTTTGGGCAAATTGAGAGACATTGGAAGCATTTAGTTGTGAGTATATAGTTGATGCATCAGTGCTGAATGTGAATGAACTGTTTTTCCGGTATGATTTCATCAACTTTCATTAGGAGAGTTTTTATTGCCATTATCTTGGCCAAACGAGAAATCACAGAATAGCTTTATTTTTTTTCCTCCTTCCATGTTTTCTATTACTGTGACACAGTGTCAATTAGGAGATGCAGGTGAACACCTCACTGCCCTAGCTGTTATAATAAAAACAGTTTTGGCAGAAAAGAGAAGAAATGTATTGGTCTAACTAGACCAAGAGCTAACAGACTGTGTCCATTTAATTCATCTGATTAGCCATGTTGAGTTCCTCTGGAACGTTTCTTCCCACAAAATAATGTATTAAGACACATCCAAATATTAGAGAGTTACTGGGTGATGTCTCTTACCGTACTGTCTGCTGCAGTATGAAAAAATGAGAAGAGATTAGCAAAAAATGTTTAGCTCCATTATTCTTTATAATAGCCAGGAAATGATCAACCTGTTATCCTTTAACATTATGTCTTTAAAAGACTTGCATGAGGGGGCCCATGGGACCAGTGGGCATATTTGTATTGTGCAGCAGAGCGTGATGTATCAAGCTGATGCTGATCCAGACTGGTACTTTCACGTTGCGAAGAGCAAGAACTGTGCAAAGATACGAGCTGATCATCAAAGTAGAATAGCTTTGTTAGCATATCTCTGAGCCTAAACTAATTAAGACTGATGATCTTGTCTGCAGCTTTCTGGTGCAGTTTTTTGATTCAGACTTTGCTTAGGTTTTGCTGGCTTGGAAGACTGCACTGTGCTCCGCTTCTCATATAGATGCTTCCAAAGGAGGACAGAGCAATAAGGCATTGTGATAGAGAAGGATAGGGTCACTGAGGACTCAGGACATAGCAGAGAACCTGCTGACAGGTAGAACAGCTTCCTCCTGTACAGTAGTGGCAAATGGATTATATATTGTCACTACGAGTAGAAACAACGCAGCTTCACTGCTGTGGATGCGTGCTTCCCACCTGCTTCTTAATCAAAACCAAAGTTCACCACTTCTCTTTCTTTATCTCTTGTATAATTTTTTCACAACTTTTCAGCATGATCTGATCATTTTTTACAGCCATGTGTATTGCAGAGCTACGAGGGAAATCCCTTTCAAGCAATGCAAGAGGGGCTGGATCCTAACCAGAGCACCAGCTTGTGGCACTGCTGGCAGATATCATCAATGCCATTAGTTTGATACGTCAGTTCTGTCGACATCTTCACTTTAATGGTAGTCACCTATGCAGCTTCAGCCCCAACCTCTGCTGAGAGCTGAGGAAGAAGAGGGAGAGCATTTTCTGAGTTAGAAAATAAGTCTGCCTGTGTTCGAGGTGAATTAAATGTGTTAACTTGTAATGTTCTAGCTGAGGTTTCCTGCTGTTATTCCCAAGCTGACTGCTCTGAAAGCAATATGGATCCATCATACAGCAGCTAACTTCAGAGCATGAGCAGTTACTGTCTGAGGCTTCTCAGGTGTATTATAGTTTTATTATTATTACTTCTCTGTTCATAGTTTCTTAAGGCCTCTTCATATCTGAATAAAACCCCAGGGAATCGTAAGCCCACAGGCTGAGTTTTAGTACTGTCACTATTCGCATCTCCTGGATCGATAGGTATTTAGTGTGCTGCCTAGGCCTTGGAAGCAGGACCCTGAGATACACCCCAGGGAAAGCCCCAAGATGTTCTTTGTATTTTTTAGCCCTGACAGAATAATTCTTCTGTTGTGGAAGTGACATTTTTTTTGCTCAGAAATGTCACCACTTCTACCTGCTGACTGTAACTCTGGCACACTAAAATATCTTCTGAAGTAAAATAATGAAAGTTAGGAATCCATGTAGAGCTGTTTTGTATTAATGACCATTGGTTCCTCGAAGCCTCTTCATCTGTTTTCTTATCATTATTAATAATTACTATAGTTCGTTGTACCTGGCTCTTACTTAGCAAAGCTTGCAGTATAGGTGATTAGGATGGGAGAAGAAATGATGTTAGAGATTTGCTGACTGCTTTAAAGATATTTAAGAGACTTTCTGAGAGCAGAAGTCAGTTCTCCAGAGTCCTTCAGCCCTGCCTGGTAGTGAGGCTCAGTTTTCTCATATTGTTTGTGTGCTCTTTTAGGCATGTCCTCTGTTTATCTAGCTGTCCAACCACTCAGTATTGTTTGAGCTCAAAATAATACATTATTTGTTCCTGTTCATCATTATAATTACCTATTCATATTTACTCATAGAGTTTCAGAAAAGAAGTTGAATTTCAATGTATTACTACAGGAAAATGTATTTGTTATCAGATAGGACTTCTGTAATGCTAGATTTTCTTTGTACATTCTGGACCTGCTGGAGTTGAAGCGGAGGCTTTCACCCTGTGAGGTACTTCGTGGCCTCTAACAAACATAAACCAAAAAAAAAGCATTACAAGGGAGCTGTAGATGGTCACCTGAGAAACATCTTTCTTCCATCCACCTGCATGCTGTTGGCTCCCATTTTCTTTCAGCTCTGCAGAAGATCCTAGGGAAGTTACAAATGCAACGTTAAACAGGAAGCATATAAAAATTTAAAAAGCAAAACAAACTACTAAGAAATATGAGATCAGAGCTCAGCCCCCTGTTATGGGTTACTGGAATATATTATATTGGCTCTGTTACCGGTAAGATGTCCACTAACAAACACTGAGTGGAGGGTCAAGTGCAGGCCATGCTGGATGGAGCACACACTGCGCTTGTGGCTGCTGCCAGGGCTGTGAACGTGGACTTGTGGCAGTTGCTAAGGAAACAGTCTTGGAAATGGGACTGGAGTTCTTGTCAGAAGGTTGGCTGCAGAGGTGGTTTGTGCTTCAAAAACACACAGGGCTGATACTGACAAAGGCAGCAATTGCTCAGCAATTGATTCAACCCCTGGTGTGATAGCATTAAGGAGTAACACATGATGTGATCACTAAATGTCAAAGATGAGGGATTTTGCAGTTTCTTAGGGTTATTTTTTTTTTTTCAGTGATTCTTTTGTGTTTTAGGGGTTTTTTGGTCTCTTGCCATCTCACTGCTTGTGAGAAACTACCAGTAATTACGCCGGATTACTCCTGTGTAGGCCCTTGATGTGTTACTTTTTTGTTAGATCTTTATTTTTTTACTTAGTGTAAAAGCATGCATAGACTATCAAAGTCAGGGCTCTTCCAAGTGAGGATCCACAGCTTGAAGGAGTCCTCTTAGAAAGGTGATGTTGGTAATCCCAATCCTGTCTGTGCATTTCTTTGCCTGCACATCCTTACAAGAGACATAAGCTTTTAATACACCGAGAAATTCCTCAGAGCTGTTTGTTATTTTGCAATTACTTTGTAATTGATTTTCTTAAAAAACAATTCATAACTTGTTAAAGATCTTCCCTCCTTCCCCTCCTCACTGTTTTTCTTTAATCTCTGCCACTGCCCAGTATTTTCAGTTATAAAACCTATTTGTTTCCCATTGCTTAGGGAGATTACACTTCTGCGGAGAGAAAAAAAAAAATAAGACATAATGATTTGTATTTAGTCAGATCCTCCTTGGGTATGAGTCTAATTTTTACAATGACAACTTTTATGCTACTTGCCTCTGTTTCCACAGTTGTAGAATAGAAGCTATTTTAAATAGATCTTGTAGAACAAATGCTGTCATTGAATTCATGAATGACTGAAATTTCTGCATATATAGAAAGCAAACAAATACCTGGTTCAGTTGGGAGGAAGAAATCTAAGAACTGTCCTTCTGAAAAACAATCTCCCAACACCTGCAGTTTGTACACTCAGCAATGAAACTTCCTACTTTTTCCACCAGGGCTTGCAGCTGGGAACTCAAGAGCTGGAGGAGATGGGAAGCAAGTTTTGCCTTGCTCTGCTCATTCTGCACCTCAAATCCTTGCCCTGCAGCAAGAAGGTGATGGCTCAGGCAGCGCTACTCCTAGATCTGGAGGAAGAAATAACAATAACAGACCGGGCACAAAGGTCAGTGACAGTTTTCTTGTGATTTTCATTTTCCTCTCAAAATATTACTTGAGCATATGGATGGCACTGTCCCAGAGTAATTCATCAGCAGGAAACCAAAGTTTCAGGTGAGATTCTGTCCAGCTCGTATCTCTCTGTGAAGACAATCACCTACAGGGAAGATGTTCTCCAAGTGCTATAGCACTGGGAACTAATACTGAAGATTAATAAAGGGCTTTGATGGTATGATTTAGAAATTTGTATGCCTGATTCTGCAAGGATTCACACAGTCATTCCTCTTTTCTTCACAGCACCAATCCTACAGACATATAAAGCATAGGTTTCTGACTTTTGGTGCATGTGATGATGTCATTATCCAAACAATCACATAGGAGGTTTTTTTTTTTTATCAAATTGAAAAATTCATTTCTTAGTTTCCTATGTTCAGTGGGATCTATGCAAGTGAGGTTGCCTCAGTGTAAGTATATGGGGAATTTGCCCTGGATGTCAGACTGTGGGATGCTTCAGCTGTAATGAAGCAGAGATGTATGTGGTCTTTCTAAACCATCCTCTTCTTAGTGCTACATGCAAGCACTTACACTTGCAGTAATGTTTTTTCAAGACAAATGGAGAAAGAAAAACTTAGCGATGTGATATGATTTGAAGCTCCCAGTGGGTTTGTTATCAAAGAGTGCTTCCAGCTTCATCAATGAAAAGCCAATTTTTCTGTTGCAGAAATGCCCCCATAATTTACAGCAAGCTTCCAGTCTTCCCCCTGCAGGAATACTTAACTGACATTAGCACCACCTGTTCCTCATGCCTGAAACCATTCTTACAAGCTTGTTCGTGGTTTTTAATGTTTATGGGGAACAATGAAAAAAAGAGAACTAAAATATAGAGACATTCCTTTGGTATAGCTGTGCTCGCTTGTACATAGGAACACATAAATGAAGCAATTAGCATGTATCCTAAATGGTTTCAGTATTGTGGATAGCCATCCGACAAATTGTTGGTGTGTCATTAGAGAGAACTACTGAAGCCTGGCCAGGTAGATGGGTTTGAGATATAAATCAAAATTTCAGTTCTGAATTAGAGCTAGAAAAGCTTTTGCATGAAAATAACTTCTGGGAAGGAAAATATTGAACTTTGACTTGCCCCAAACACTGAAAATAAGCCATCTGGTCATACTGACTCCGTGAGCACTTTCTCTCATTTGTGCAGTTTCCCATTACCTTTTTCTTGGTTGATTTCATGTTAGTGAGCATTCATTTCGTTTTTCCTGATGTTGTGTAGGTAATGAACCTTTACCAATATAGCAATAAGACACTCTCCAATGACAAATACTTTTAAAGAAGTTAACAATTAAAGAAAAATCCCTTGTCTTGTAAAGCTCCCATACCATTCCAGACACGTTTGTGGTGGTTGAAAGCAAAGCACTCTGTCCTTTCATGGTTTCCCAGCGTTAGTAACTCCATGTCATCTGGGGATGGAGTGCCACTGCTGAAAGGCAGTGTGATGGTGACTTGCTTTCACTTCACTGGGTAGAATTGCAGATTTATGGAGTTCTGATGGGTTAGGTGTGATTAGTTGGCATTTATAGTACAAGTAAACATTGCATTGTTTGCTCCTGTCTAGAGATTCGTCATATTGCAGGAGGTTTTTTGCGAGAGATCAGGAAAAGGGAGACACGGGGACCAAGGGGTTTGTAAGCATATTCTATTTTATGATAAATAATTCATTGAAAATGATTGTGCAGTGTATTGATTCTGATTCAGAAAATTAAAATTTTGCTTCTGGGTTTCTTTGAGTCTCGCCAAGAGAATTGCATAATTTGATTTTAGTGGGAATAGGAGGCCTAGGAACCAAAGGAAGAATGCAGAATACAGAGAACACACTGCTATGGGCAGGAGAGCAGCTGTATCCAGGCCTCTTCCCCCAGCTCAGACTTTGAAATAAAATAACTCATAGACTTTGAAATAAAAAAAATGTATATCAAAACATTTCTCTGGAGGTTGCAGTTTGGGGTACCACTCAGCCTAATCTTACTCTGTAAAGATGAAGTCCAGTCTTTCTCCTTCTAGGTAGCACAAGGAGGTCACCAGAGTCTTTCTGCTTACTGGTGGTGTGTCACTATGTCAATGGAAATTACAGTCTGCTTTTTCCAAGTCTAGGAGGTTTAAGGAGCAGGAAGTAGTAATCACAAAGATGCACAGCATCCTTGAGTACTTTGTGTGCTTTCTTCTTGTGAGGATGGAAATACCCAAATTATTTTTGTACCTTTGCCAAAGCAGAGTTAAACTTGGGGCCTGCAGGTTCAACACAGAGTGCTCTACGTGGTTATGGTGTGGGATGTCTTGTGTGCTTTACACTGTGAGCAGAAGTTGTTTAAACACCTTGCAGGCAATCCCTTTGCCAGAATTCTGTACTGTGTAATGAACAGTGGGTGTTTAAGTGGGAGACAGTGGCACTGACTGCAGCTAATGTTTGTTTCTGTTGAAGTGTATTGCAGAAAACTGTCTTGCTGACACGTCTAGAGAAGGATACGCATATGGATGTTTCCTGTCAGAGCAGGATTAACAGTGTCAAAAGAAAATGAAGACTATTGCTCGACCTTGATGAAAATACAATCGTTATTTAGTTGGTAGGATTTTGTTTTGCAGAAGGCAGGCTGAAATTGCACTGACCAGTACAGCTGATCAGTGAGATTCATTGCACAGTGCTTATGTTAAATACGTCCATCTAATTTTCTCAGTGTGCATTTCTGAGTGCCCATCTCTATAGTACTTTGGGTGACAGGTCAAGCCATGGAAAGAGAAGTTAATCCAGTACTGGACAGACCTGACTTCCAGATGAAATGCCTCATGGCAAAGGTACATAGATCACAAGTCAGAGGTCTCTTCTGTTATAAAAACCCTACAGTTCATGTTCTGCATTTGTGTCTTTTTTGTCATGGTGTCTGGTGTGCGTGGCATTGACTTGGCATCTCAGCATCTCCCTACAACAGTGAACATTTTCACCTGTCAGCTTTTATAAGTGGATGTGTCTTTTAATTTTCCTCTTAGAGCTCTCTCTGCTCAGGGCGTCTTGCAGCCTTACTTTTCCACTACTGCTATGAGGAGGATGAAGGAGCAGGCTGGACCTGGCTACTATTCTAGAATAAACTATTTGCTCTGTCAGAGTCACTGAGCAGTAAATTGAAGCAAGGTAATAGCTGCTGGGGAAGTGACTGGTGTAGTGGAGGCATCCTGGTGTGAATGGAGGATTTCTCCCACCTGATCTCATAGTGTTCAGTGTACAGTCTCCAGTGAGCCAAAGAAAGGTGTACTAAACCTTTAGTGGTCCTAACTAAATACATTTTGGAACATAAGCCAGAATTTCTTCTTGACCTCAGTCTAGCATGAACAGTAAATGAAGTCATTCACAAGCATTAACTGTGGAATAAATTCCCAGGAGAGGCACAGTAACAAAGTAGCTGCATTTGAAAATAAGTAAAAGGGGAGTTGAATTTTAATCTCTGGGGCTCACTAACAGAACAGCAGAGTATTTCCCCCAGAGCCTGGAAATCTTTGGGCAGCATGAAGTTCATGTAAAAGCTCTTTGTCACTGGTTCTCTGAGGTCTATGTGGCAGCTGTCTCATGATCATGCCAAAAGGTGAAGTATAAGGTAGATACATACATAAGATACATCAGAGCCTTAATGCGTGATGGCTGCAGGTACAGGGGCAGGGAAGAGCTGCTTTCTCCCTGTGTGTCACTGAAGCTCATGGGATGGATAGAAACTAAGCACATTCAGGACTTTTCCAAGCTCCACTTAGTTACCAGGATAGATATTTGCCCTTCTTAAGGCTGCCTTAAAAGCCAACAGGTAACAACTGAGATTATTGCCATGAGATGCAGTGAGATCATAGGATTTCTGGATTACCTGGAAGTGCTTGAGTGTTTGGAAATAGTTTAACTCTGAAATCTCTACAGTAAACTGCAAGTTCCTTACTCAGATACTCTCTCTCCACAGAAAGCTACTTCCTACTCAATGCTGTACCTTTCTAAAACTGGGGAAAGTCCAGTAAAGGGACTGCCTGTCTAGTGGTTAAATCGTTCAAGGTATTAGCCAGCTTTTAATTAGCATCCAGTGCCCCTGGGACATTTCTCCTTAACTCTCACACTTGTTCATCACCCTCATGTTGCACAAGACCTACTGAAGAACTTAGCTTGTGGGTTTTTCTTTTCACGAACTTTTTATAGTTATTTGATGCAAAAAAAAAAACAACCCTATTTCTCCACCAGCATGCAACGAGGCCAGTTTTAAGGACCATTCTGCCAAGGTCAAAGGTCAAATATGTGGAGAGTTTCCTGCATTTGGCAGCCCTCTTCTAAAAAGCAAGGTAATGTGTCACTTGATCATAGAGGCATTTTACTCTCTGAATTCCTAAAGATACAGTGTTGTAGATGTTGGCTTCAGAAATGTGCTTTTGCTCAAGAAGAACCACTAATTTTTGTATTTCCAGCCTCCCACCATGCCTTGCATTCAGTTCAGGCGTTTGGAAGCTCTCTTCTGGGAAAATGAAATGACAGCATGTACTTCAGACATCATGTTTTTTGATAATAAGTTTCATGCCTCATTTGCTATGAAACAATTGGGCTTTAAGTCAGTGCTGCCCAGGTAACTACACATTTTTCATGACCGCAAAGAGGATGAGAAGTGACTGCTCACTTAGAACAGGTTTGAGAAAGCAAGATCATTCCCTTGTTAAAGGTGTTTTCCCCTTCTTCCTCATGTTTTGAATGGATGGCACGTTCCTTCATTCTCTTTTTGCATTTATGCCTGGGAGTGTTTTGCAAATACTGCAGCAATTGTAGCCCTTTTTTTGGGAGATGTTTCTTACATATTGAGGCAGACCCTTGCAAAGTCATTAAGTGTTTTCTGCTGACTCAGATATTATTCATCTCTTGTGTTTCTTTGTAATTTCTTATGTTTCTTGAGCAGAGCCAAATTTCTCTCCGCCCCAGATGGTAAATATACC